TATCTATCTATCTATCTATCTATCTATCTATCTATCTATCTATCTATGTATCTCTGCAGAGCTGAGAAGTAGATGAAGGGCTTTACTTTATTTTTTCAAAGTCTAACACTGAACCTAGAGTTGATGATTGGCTAGAAGCTAGACCGTCTGGCCAGTTGGCCACCAGGATTTTATAATCTACAAATGCATGCCAGTAGTTAGTTATAAAATAAAAGGCAAAATAAATGGAGAAAGGGCCTCACTGAATGAAGTTTGTACATCCAAAGGAAAGGGGCTTACAAGACAGATATGTCCCAGGTGCAGAGAGGTGCTTCCTTCCTATGGATGGTGTGTGAACCCAGGGTCTTCAGTAAGCTAAACACACACTTCCTCTGAGCCATGTCTTCAGTCTCCAGCATGTTTTTACTTTTAGAATACTTTTAGAAGGCTGATGTAGTGCTGAGGATTTGGGAAGGTGACAGGTTTGGTCTCCAGTACTACCACCAAAAAACACCCAAAAGGAATAACTTTTATATCCTCCAAAGGATGTAACTTTTATCTTATGTTGTCTAATGTGACTTACTCAACTTTTCAAAGCCCATTATCATAAATTTAAGTGAGAATAATGGCGTGTGTATTGTGTAAGCATGGTTGTTAAGAAGTTAGATAAAATATGGTGAGTTCCTATTTGTTACATAGTAGACTTAGTGACAACCACTTCTAATAGGATTGTATTCTTCTTGTGCCAAGCTTTCCTTGTATTAGTAGAATATAAGGAATGACATACTCCTCCTATTATTAGTAGGATGGCAAATGAAATCTGCTACTGAGGTTGGGAGGCAGGGCTGAGAGGAGTGGAGGGAGGGGAAACTGAGGTCAGGATGTATTGTATGAAAGAATGATGATGATGATGCCCCTAGATCCAACATGTCAAGGGCCTACCCCTTCTTTCCTATTTCTCCTACAAACTGGTTTGCATGCGCGGGGGCCTGGAGACCTTACTTCCTCCTCTCAGTCAGAGTGAGATGGTAATTCGACAGCATAGGGAATCCTCACAACCAAACTTTGGGGTAATGGGGTGTGGCCACCCCTTCTGGGGAAACAAGGAACTGCAAGCACACCAGAGACCTTGGTGCAGGCAGCAGGGCGAGTGGGCCTAGGACTTTTCAGCTCCTCTGCTCATTTAGGTAATAAGACACCTTCCTATGTGGCCAAGGACAACAGCTGGAGAACCTGAATCTACACAATCTGAGTTCACGTCACTGTCATGAAGAATGATGGCAGATCAAAGAGCGCATGTCTTGAGTTTAAAGATAAAAACCCTGGGAAGGAAAAAGAAAACGCTGAACATGTCTGATTTCTGTGAAACAGAAGAGGATTCAATATGGCGATTCTGGAAAGAGGCAGTGCTTTGGTGCCATGGGCAGCAGGCAGTGAAGGCTTGGTGACCACAGCCCTGCAGCGGTGTTCACACACACCTCATGAGTTCTGGAGACCACACCCAGGGCTTCACGTGTGCAGCCTTTACAAAACAGCGCACTAAGAAAGCCTAGTGACTGTGGTCATGTGCATCTGCATCTGTGTCTGTAGTTCTAAAAAGAGTGGTCTACACCCCAAAACAAAGCAAGATGTTACATCACACACTGCCAGACTAGTGAAAGTCTGTTTATTGTGGTGCTAACATTTTTATGCGGTTGGTTCGGTATTTCTCACGAAAGTTAAAATCCAAGTAGTCCTGAATAATCGCCATCTGCAATGCAGGACACAGACAACTGCAGGCCCTGAACATTCCCAGGATGGCTGCACTTCACCTGCCAGAAAAAGAACTCGGCAGCTTATCAACAGTGTCCCGGATCTCCAGTTCTTATTACCACCCCATAAATCTCAACAGATGAAGCTGAAAAGTCCACATGGAATACAACACCCGAACCACACGAAGAAAATACAGAATATTTATTCATTTCTTTCTACTAGAAAGAACATGCTGTTCTTAGACTAATGGATGATCAGTTGTCAGGAGTTGCTTTTGGAGAATGATCAATGAATTCCTTCTCGGGGGTTGGGTAATGAAACCAGGGCCCGTCACCCCGGGACCGCATCAGTCTTCGAACTTCCTGCTCCTTTAACCTGAAACAAAGAGAATAGGAACAGTGAGCGTGCGCATGGACGCAGGCAGGTGCAGTCACTTCTGCAGTCAGCGCAGGCTCCTCAGAAAACAGAACAGAACCACCATAGCACAGTTACACTGCTCATGGGTCCAAGTCAGCATGCCAGACACATAGCTGACCATCCATGTTCCTGTCCACAACAGCCAAGATATGGAAGCAGCCTAGCAGTCCATCAACAGATGAATGGATAAGAAAATGTGGCGCATGTGCACAATGGAATTCTATTCGGTCACAAAGAAAAATGCAATCACGCCATATGCAGAAAAACCCATGAAGCTGGAGATCATCATGTTAAATGGCAAAGCCAGACGAGCATACTGTGTTTGGATTCCTAGGTGGAATCCAGATTTCATACACACTGATTATATACAGATTATACAGATATACACAGGATAAAAGGCAGATGGAGAACTATTGGGGCCAGTGGGAGGAAGGGAGGAGGACAGGAAGAGATCAACAGGAAAGAGGAGAGCAGATAAGAGAAGGTAAATGGGAGGTGAAGATGATTAATGTACAATGAAATGTGTTTATGAAGTTGATGCCATCAGGGAAGCCATTATTTTATACACTAAAAATTAATAAAAAAATAAAATGATCCAACAATCCCAGCTACAGATTTAATCAATCACTGTACACGTGAGAGTCTGGCTTTGATGCACACAGTCACAGTGGCAGACGCCCACTACACCTCTACCAAGTCAGGGACTCCTGACTTTGCCCATGTCACGTCCACAGTAAAAGCCTCACTTACACTGATCAGGTCTCCCCACAGGCCCTGCCCCGTGGCTGTGTGACAATGCTTGACTGTCTTCCCACCTTTTCAACGCTAGCACAGCTGGCTACAGAATGCCTACCAATGTGAGAGTCCTGTGCTGCAGGTGATGTCCCCCTCGTGGAGGGCCTACTGTCTCTGCTATCACTGTTAGGAAAGGCAACTTCTCCACAGGAAGTGGAGTCTCTATCACCAGCATCTGAGGGGCCTACATGTGACATTCAGTTGTTAAATCAGAAGGGAAAAATCAGAGCCAAGAAAACCATCCTCAACTCAGTGCCAAACTCAGCCTTTTGAACTGGGTGATCTGGACTACACAAGAAGCCTTCCCTACAATACATCCAAGACCACCCCTTCACTATCAACCCTTGACCCTCCAAAATACACAAATTAATCTTTTTATGACCAGAAATGGGGAACTGCAAAAATCATTTCATAGGCATTAACTACCTTTCTAACTATGAGATTATAGACCTCTGTACCTGTGACCTGAAGAGCACACTTACTCAACTTTTTACAATGAATTATATTCAATCCTTCTTTTCCCTACTCTTCTAAATATAATTACACAAAATGGGTAACTATCGTAATTAAAGAAAGAGTTCACAAATTTGAGGAGTGGAGGGGGAGAGTTGAAGGGACCAGAAATGATGCAAATATAGTACTCATGTAGAAAGTTCTTATAAAAATAAAAAAAATTAAGTAACAAAACAAAATAAGATACAGCCAAAAAACAAAATAACAAAACCCCTAAGGCTGAGGAAATGGCTCAGTCAGTAAAGAGCTGGCCTTGCAAGGATGTGATTTCAATCTCAAAACCTATGTAAAATCATCTGGGCTCATATTCCAATGCTGAGGAGGCAGAAACAGATCCTGGAGGCGCTAGCCAACTGCACTGATGTAACCTAATATCAGACGAGCATTTCCTCTAGAGACAGGTCCAAAAGGGTTGCATATGGTAGTTTCTAATCGCTATATTACAGGGCAGTTTCTATGACTTCTATGACATGTGGAGTAGGTGCTGTGTGCACAGAGCAGCCTATTCAAGAGTCCTTTCCAGGGCTGGAGAGAGAGCTGCTGCTTCACATCTGCTGGCTCACAAAGGCCTGCAACTCTAGCTCCAGAAGATCTGATGCCCTCTTGTGGCCTCCCAGGGTCTGCACACACAGAGACATATACCCATAACTAGAGAGAGAGAGAGAGAGAGAGAGAGAGAGAGAGAGAGAGAGA